ATATTAAAAATTTACGAATTCCCCTTGTTCGACAAAAATCACAATTATTCCAAATACTCTTTATTGTCATACATCTACTGTTCTGCTTGGACGAACTTTGACCTCGTTTTGCAATTCATAGAGTACTGATGTGACTCATTTAGCAGCATTCGCTTGTACACACATCCATTGATAAATAATCAATCTCTCGTCGTCGCCTGCAAACGGAAATCACCCAAATTTTGTTGCCAACAATTTGAAATTATTTGATTTTTGTGTGATTTATTAGCAACAGCACGCAAATTTTGGACCGAAAGCTTTTCTTTATAAGATATGAACGTGTGTATGCACATTTTTATATTTGTGTGCGTTGTAGGACGAATGTGCATTTTAAACATTTATGTAAATTTACATTTCCGAATGTTCAATCTTGACAATGATTTGCCACTCGCCGGTGCACTCAGGGCCAGAGTTCGGTCAAAAGTGGCCAAAAGTGCACTTCCCGAAGAACGTTCTATCCGATGAGCGCACAGTGGCTAAACATTAAAATACTTGAAAAAAATTTTAAAAAAATTGGCACTTACCTTCCACAAGCAGGTATCTTTCAAAAGTGAGTAAACTACGATATTTCTGATAGTAAAAGTTTTTGAAATCGGGCAACAACAAACACATCCAGAATACGTGCGCCGGGCATGAAAGATTCAGTTTTCCCCAAATTTACACTTCCCACTTTTTGTGTGGTTTGGACATATCATTTCTAATAGGTGTGTATTAGTACACTGAACTTTGATGGACTTTGGCGAGCCTAAGATATTGACCCAAAATTGTCATCTTTCACTCAGATTGTTTTTAGAGCATTATGAACCATATTTATGCTATTACTAATCAAAATTCTAAAAAAGCGGATTTTAGGACCATGTTAGTGTGTATGTATTAGGGATGCTAATTTTTTCGCTTTTTACGATTCCGGGAATTTCGGGATGTCGTTATCACAATCCCGGGATTACGGGATTAGTCCCCGGATTTAGATATTCATTACTTTTCAACAACTCAAATCGAAAAAAATTGCTTCTATCTCTCGTACCATAAAATAAATAATAAATAAATCGGTTTGAAACTGACTTTTTTATTTAAAGTGGCGTTTCTATTTTTCCTCTCTGACGTTAGGATATATTTTAAAGAACTTTGTTATTTCAAATACTTGATTAATTCCAAAAATCATTTAAAAAACTCAATGCAACGTAGAATAAAATTATGGGTATGAAAGAGGAAATTTCTTTAGAATTAAAAAAAAAAAATTTTGGGTTGACAAGGACGATTCGGTAATTTTTGAAGCTAATAAAGTTAGAAGGACAAAATTTGAGGATGTTATCGAGTTTATATAAGTCCTTAACATAAAATTCTTTCAAAAACAAATATTTCGAAATCAAGGATACAATTTTAAAAGGACATTTTCAATACTTACCAGTCCTTCTGCACAAAAAACTTGTATCTGCTTAAATTCTACAGGATTTCCTCCTTAATTTGAAACCCATACTTCTTCTTTAAGCACATTTCACTGAATTTTTTAAATCATTTTTGAATTACCGACGTCAGAGTGAAAAATTAAAAACGCAATATTATATTTGGCCCATGGTTTCGCCAATATATTGATTTCTGTGTGTAACAATTACTATCGGACAGTGTTATTTATATGTATAATGGAATGGAAAAAATATTAATTATTAAATAAAAAAAGAAATATAGCCAATACTGGTCAAGAAAAGGAGTTTCTATGATTGCCATCAGTGCAAATTACAAATCGCTAAAATCCAGGGATTATTTGCCAAGAATGCCGGAATATTCGGGACCTGAAAAAAGGAATTAACGCTCCGGGATGCCGAGATTAACATTCCTAGTATGTATGTAGGTAAATGGTGTCGCTCAAATATTTTTAGAACATGAATGTAAAATAGCACAAAATTCTCGTTTATTGCACCCACTAAATTAGTAACATTAGGATGGTCTAAAAATGCAAGTGAAAAAAGGAAGTAGGAATTTTTATGCTCTCACCCCCTAGGATTGTTCTATACCGAAAAAAATTACCACTATTTTTTATTTTTCCATGTATTTTATATGAAAAAAAAAACAACTTTTCGTAGAAGTGGTATAGAATTCTTAAAAATCTGTATTTTTAGATCTGCTTCTATGGTTTTTTTTAACCATTTTTTCAAAGTAACTATAATTTATAAATCCGCCAAAAACCCCAAAAACGCAATGGGTGCACCAATAAAAAGTCTTTAGTACTGAAAAATGGTTAAATAAAAAATTGGGTATAATTATTGGGAGTCTCCTGAAGAGAACCAGAGTCTTCCGAACGCAAAATATACATGGAAAACTTTGAGCGCCCTAAATATATATTTTGTGATTTCAAAATAAAAAATAAAAGTATATTTTCCGATATTTCCGATAAATTCCGACTTTACTTTTTGGACCATCCTAATGTACATATTTACTGAAATTTCTTACACAATGCCCAAATTATTCTGATATTGAAAATTTATTTTTAAGGTCTACAAAGCGTGCTTACTGCACATTGAATGTAGACACATATACATATGTACATGGCACCCTGTGGGAAAAATCTCTAGTTCTGAACTGGTTCGCTTCTAGTACATTTAGACCCAGTACAAACAACTGGCGAATTTAACAAGGCGATGTCTTAGGAAGTGTCAATTGCCCCCCGCTGCATCATTTTTTCGATAGTTCCGAACTAGTCATAAATTCTATAGGCCCGAACCAGTTCTAAAATCGACAGACGAAAGAAAAAAGTATCATGATTTTCAATATTTTTGGTTCTTCCGTGTGTGTGATTTTATATTATTTTCAAAGAAATGTGTTTCCAATTTGAAACTAATTTGTTTGAATGATTGTAGGAAATGTAAGCTAAGCTAAGTTTGCAGAGGTGCCTGCTGTTTTTAGTTAGATAAGAAAAGGTCCCAAGATATTAAAATGTTTACACAAATTCTTGTTTTGTATTACCAAGCAAAGAAAAGCACCTGCGAAGGGCAGAATGGAAGCGTATTTAAACGAACACATATCTATGTAAATTAAACAAGCCTCCGCTGCATCCCATTTTCGATAATTTCGAAACAGTTCTAAATTCGTCTCCTTAGATATCGATTTCGAATGAAAAAAGTGAAACAAAATAGTTTTTTAAAAGTACCACATTTCGCTGATTTTGGAGTGGTGGGGATCTAGTTACTATAGAACTGGTTCGTTTTTGGCGATAAAGATACAGTACGGAACTAGAAATTTGATTTACTAGTTCGCGAGTTTCCCTGCAGGGTACATATGGCACATATACACTTATGTATGTAGTTGTTGTTGCATTTTTGATTTTACACCAATTCTGCTTGCCTTAGAATTTCTATGAATGAAATTCTGATCGAACGATGCCCTGCAAGCGTCATCGTATTAGCATTTCCGTTTGTCAAAATTCATCAAAATTTGCAATAATTTTGACCATTCGAAATGTCAAACAGCATGTCAAATGACTATTATTTATTTGGAAATATTTGAGTTTCCTCAAAAACTACATAAATTTAAGCAAATTTTGATTGTATATTGCACATTAGTGTTGTTATTTACTTCCGTAACATTTTTGCAGAGGAAATTAATAGTGACGTAGAAAATTCAATTCGGAAATATTTCGTCGAATCATGCGATTCATTAAATGAGAAAATGTAATCCGAAGAGATAAATGAGATATTATTTTATATAGTGCGGCCAATAAAAGCAGATATACGAATCCGTATTTAACGTATAGTTTGGACTATGACTCCCATTTTTTTCTTTATGATGTAAAGGTGGCTTCTTAAGAGACTAATAATAATAACTTGATCCATACCCAGCCTCCTTATTTGAGACCAACTCCCTCTGCACGAGCTAAGTTGCTGTGGCGTAAGCATTTCTTATAGTAACAACAATTTGTGGATCTCTCGATAAACTGTAATGTTATTAAGCTAAACGCATTCGTAAAATTGAAAGGCACGACATTAGGTCACTTCGGAATTTTATCCAACTACCTGGACATTTTCGGGATCTGTAAGTGAGAAATGGACAGTCAATCACTTTCATAGTATACTTAAATGCCAATTCATAAGGATTTGCATTCATGCATTGAAATCTTGATACGAAAAAAAAACTAAAGAAGGGTGCGTTCACACAGAAACCCGAGTGGCCCCGTTCGAGGCAAGGTGGAGCTGCTAGTGTTCACACTGAACGAAGCTGAGTGAAGCTTTTAGCAAGTAATCAATCGTAAAGATATCACAAAACCTACCGTCAATGAAAAGTGGCTAAAATAGTTGTTCAATTTGTTTCAATTACTTTCTCGGAAAATAGATTTTCATTTAATTATTTTGATTGTTTGTTCATGCATGAGGATCATGAAGCCGAAAAATCAAAAAGAAAGTGGAAAATCGAAAAATGCTTTGCTTTCAGCCATCGCGATGCATCGTACAGTTTCATAAGTAAAAACACTATCAGCTGATTGCCAAAAAATGCCTACGGCTGAGATCACCTGTTTTTTGACATTTGCTTTTATATATTACAATTTTTTTCATTTATAACTATTAGAATTTCTTCCATTTATGTTACAATTTATTCTAAATACACTAACACACTAAAGAAAAACACCAATACACCAACCACAAACACATCTACAGCCTGCCAGGAAAAACGGTTAGAAGAATTACGTTACTTATGGAACTATACGATGCTTCCATATACGGCTTCGCTGGGCTCGACGCCACTTTTTTTGTGAACGTACCGTAACTTATTTTACAACTAGTCACTGTTTAATAGAAAGTCAAGTCAAGTCGCCTACCGGCTAACGATGCTTCTTAGATTTTATAGTCAATATTCGTTCCGGTAAAATTAATTTTATTGTCAGTTACTTTAATCCTATTTTAGGTTGGTTTTAAAAGTTAAATGAAATCAAGTTAGGGAACTTG